TGGTGGATTCCTGAGATTTTCTGTCCATACAACCTGGCCCCCTTGGTGAACTCCAGTCCAATGAGACCCTGTCTCAAAAGACAAGATGGGTGTTTCCTGAGGAACACACTAAGGTAAACGTCTGGCTTCCACAGGTGCCCACAATGGGCTGCACATATGTGCACATATATCCCCTGCCCCCACCCCCAAAACCCAAAACATACAAAAGTAACAAAACAGAAACGTCTTTGCTAGACTGCTGACAAAACTGATCAAGAAAAGAGCATCCCAGCTGGCAACATCATTCACTGAGTAGGGGCTTGCATCTAACCCTAACAGTCTGACTTCTACTTTTGACCTCATAGGGTAGAAGTAGAAAACACTCCTTCCTGCAAGTGTTCCTCTGATCACCGAATGTGTGCCATGCTACATATGCCTCCCATAAATAAATATACATTTAAAAAATAAAAGCTATAAATTACTCATACCAGAATTTTAAAAAATAGAAAATACAGGATTTTCAGTAATGATTATATTATTCAATTGTCTTATTGAAAGAAGCTAAGAAACAATGTTTACAATTTGCTTGATATGAACAAATTCTTTTTCAAACACAAAACTCCAAAAATTGATAAGGGAAGAAATACAATTGTTTTCTTGTTGTCTTTACTGAACTTAAAAACTTCCCACATAGAAATTCATAGTTTCACTTGTAAATTCAAAGTTCTTCAGAAGAACAGGTTAGCACAGTATCAAAACCCCACAATGAAATTGGAAAAAAAAAGAAATAGGCTAATATGTCTCATGAATTTAGGGCAAATATCTGAAAAACATACTAGATAACTGAGTCTAGATACCAGAACTAACATATCAGGATAAGCTTGGAGAGGGTAGGGCTGGAGAGATGGCTCAAGGGTGCTTTTCCAGCAGACCTGGGTTTGGTTCTCAGCACCCACCCAGCAGCTGACAGTAGTCTTTACTCTGGTTACAGAGGATCCTACACCCTCTTCTGGCCTCTGAGGGCACTACAAACATGTGATGCATAGCTATAATATATGGGTAAAACACCTATACAAATAAAAATAAAGGTAAAGGCTCTTGGGTGGTGGTGGTGGTTTGGATTTAGTTCAGGACGGCAAGGTGTGTTTAGTATTCAAAAATTAATAAATAGAATAAAGCAGAGAAATAATGATCGTTATGAAAACAGAATGAACAGAATTCAATAACCATTCAGGAGACAAATTCTCATCAATAAACTAATACAGGGAACTTTTAAAGTAACATCCATGTACAGAACATTCTGTATCTAAGCTGGGGACACAGCTCAGAGGTAAAGTGCTTGTTTGGTGTGCACAAAGCTCCTGGTCAAATCCCCAATACCATTCACAAATATAATTCCTATATAAACACTGCACTTAATATGGTGTACTTTCCCTGGGATTGGGAATGAAACAAAGATAATTATTACAGGTACGCGTATTCTAAAATGTACTGGATTTTAGCCACTTTACTAAGACAAAGGGAAAAATGCACAGGACAAATGGTGATACATGAGCCTACTTAGCCCTGAGTGGGGACAGAAATGAAGGGTGGGCCCAGGATAAAAGGAGACGCAGAAAACTGTGTGAAAGTCAGGAACCGTGTAATTTCCTTCTCTCTTATAAATGATATAACTAGGCCTCAGGAGGTACATTGATTAGTTTAAGGTAACTCTTTAAGTAGAAAAGGCAATTGATCCAGGGTCTAAGGTTTTTTTTTTTTTTTTTAATATGCTATGATTGTTCTTAGGAAGGATGTTAGAAAAGTCTAAAGGTAATTTTGTCCAGAATATGTTACTGGGCCTCCCAAACCTAGATAAAATTGCTATTGAATTCATTACTTAGACCCTGGTTTTCTTACATAACTAAGAATGTAAGGACATATTAGGCTAAAATGATTATAGTCCATTTCTACTCCAAACTCAAAGGAATGCTATCCAGCATTTTGAGGGGGAGAAAGGAGAGAGGAAAAGAGAGAGGACATAAATTAGTGACTGAGAAAAAGAAAGGAAGGAATATTTACAGTTGCTGGAAATGAAGGAAAACTTTAAAATTAAAGATGAGGGAGATGACACAGACTCAGACACAGCTTAAGGGCTGGTGCCCGGGGTACTAGTGGGAATCCAGGAATAGTGGACCTGTTTTCCAGCTTTTAAGGAAAAAGTATGTGTGAGTGAGTGATAAGGAATAGATTGCCATCACTGTCTTGAAATGTGAACCCTGGACAATTCCCTTAGTCAGCAGAGGAGGCAGCTAAAAGAACTAACTGGAAACCTCAGGTCTGTGGCACAATCAGGTGGTGGGGGAATCCATGATGTTTAGATGGCCCAGGAATTCTGAGCACCACTGAACTTGCTAGGTCCCTGGCAACCACAGAGCAAAGCAAAACTAGGATACTTGTACTTGTACAACATAGCACACAGGGCTTCTCTAACAAGGTGTGTGAGATTTTGTTTTGTTTTTTTTTTTAAGAAAAATATGAACATGGAGCTGTAAAAATGGCTCAGTGATTAAGAGCACTGGCTGCTCTTTGGGAGGATCTAGGTTTTAGTCCCAGCACTCATGGTAGCTCACAATTATTTGTAAACACAGTCCCAGGAGATGTAATGCCTTTTCTGGTCCCTGGAGGTACTGCACACATGCAGTACACAGATGTACATTTGGGAAGACACATAACAAGGAAAAGTCTCTAAAAGATAGAACATTTTTCAAGAATTACAAACCATACAAGTTATATTTCCGTAAAGTAGGATAACTTATATAGCAAGAAGGATGCTCACCTCACTCTAAAAGATACTATAATCCAAAAGAAAGTAAGTTAATTAAAAATAAAATCCACAATGAAAAATAAGATTTTGAAAAACTTGACACTTAAAAGTGAATAGACATTTCAAAAAGTTAAAAATTATACTACGTGAAAAACAGAATGTGCATATTAACATTTTAGATATAATTGAGAGGAGGTTAGTCAACTGGATGGCAGAGATGAATGCATCTTCCAGAGGGCAGTTAAGAAAAAATGAAAGAAAAAAGGATATATGTGAAGGAAGTTCAAAGATATAAACAGCAAAGCCATTGGAAATTCAAAATGAAGGAATAGAGGGACAAGGAGAGGAAGACAGAAGAGGGATGCCTTTAAGAAATGAAAATATGAGCAGTTCTACTTCTGAGTAGGATAATGAATGTGAAAGAAGTAGATGAAGATGTAGGTCAGGTTAGCATTACTGCAAAACACTTGACAAAGAGTCCTTAAAGAGTATCTGGATGCTGTGGAAATCAGTATGGCCACTTCTCAGAAAATTGGGAATCAGTCTACTCTGAGACCCAGCAATCTCACTGTTGGGCGTATACCCAAAGGTTGCACACTCACACTACAAGGACATTTGCTCAACTATGTTCATAGCAGCATTATTCATAATAGCCAGAACCTGGAATCAACCTAGATGCCCCTCAGCTGAAGAATGGATAAAGAAAATGTGGTACATTTTCACAATGAGTACTGTAAAAAAACAATGACATCCTGAAATTTGTAGGCAAATGGATGGAACTAGAAAAAGCCATCCTGAGTGAGGTAACTGAGATCCAGAAAAACAAATATCCCATGTACACCCTCATAAGTAGATATTAGACATAAAGCAAAGGATAACTAGCCTATAAACCACAACCCCAGAGAAGCTAGGTAACAAAGAGGACCCTACAAGAGACATGCATCTACCTAGGAAGGGGAAAAAGACAAGATCTCCTGAGTAAATTGGGGGGGGTGAGAGAGGGGAGGAGGCAAGGGGAGAGGGGAAGATGTATATCTCAATTAAAAAATGGCAAAAAATAAATAAAAATAAAAAGCAGCTGGAGAAAATAGATTACCTTAAGAGGGAATAATTAATTGGATAGATTTTTTTAAATCAACATATCAGAACCTATACCATAGCTCCAAAGAACAAAAAAAATGCTATTAATATAACCATTTCTCCCCTATTTGTACCCATTTTCTTTATTTATTTACTGTACGTATGTTTGTTGGTGTGTGCGTGACAGGGTGTACATGTGAAGATCAGAGAACAACTTGGGGGAGTTAGTCCTCCCTACAATGTGAGTTGGTGGGAAATGAATTCAGGTCCTTACTCTTGATGGCAAGGGCCTTTACCTGCTGAGCTATTCTAACCAGGCCCCATATTTGTTCTTGATTCAATGGTAAGAAGATGCACCAACAGATGATGGACTGGCCTGGAACTAGGCACTGACACTTAATTTAGGGTAAACCGCAATGAATATCTAAAGTAACAGAGAACAGACAATCTACACGACGTTCTGGAAGTTTTTGCTTTTACACTGTACTTCTGGGCAGGCTTAGGCAGAATTAGTCATGGAGGATATTAACTGAATTCTCAAAATATAGTGATTAAAACAAAAGCCTGTATAATCAGACAACTGGGTTCATGCGTTGATTTAGCTTTATAAGTTGAAGGAATTTGTTTTTTTTTTTTTTTTTACTTTCTCATGATTAAGATTAAATAAGGAGCTAGGTGGTGGTGGCGCACGCCTTTAATCCCAGCACTCGGGAGGCAGAGGCAGGCGGATCTCTGTGAGTTCGAGGCCAGGCTGGACCGACAGACTCCAAAACAATACAAAGAAACTCTGTCTCGTAAAACCAGAAAAAAAAAAAAGATTAAATAAGGAATGACAGCAAAGTCTTCACACAGTAGGAACTAAATCAATCACAGTTGTTATTATTACTTATTTTAATTAATTCTTGTAATTTAATCATGTGATCTGAAGGTCATGGTGGTGGTGTTTGTCTTTAATCCCAGCACTTAGGAGGCAGAGGCAGGTGGATCTCTGTGAGTTTGAGGCCAGCCTGATACACATAGTGAGTTCCAGGACAGACTCCTAAGCTACACAGAGAAACCCTGTCCTGAAAAATCAAAACAAACAAAAACAAAATAGATAATATAACTGATGAAAAACTAAAACAAAAACACATACTCTGATATCCACTGAGCAGCCCACAGTCCATGACGGATTTCCCAGCACTTGATTGTGGCATAGAAGATGGACGAGTGAAGATTTCCCAACACCTGTGGAAGATACAAGGTCTCCAGTCAGGGGAATATACAGCCCTAAAATGGGACTTCTATACCACTGCCTGTAATCCAGGAACATCTCACAGACTGGTTTGAATTTCATCAGTGACAGGCCTCATGATGTCATGATTCCATACTCAAAGGACTTTAGTTGTCACACACAGACAGGCTTTTAAAAAGCAGCTAGCCACTCTCTCTGTCCCAGACTTCTCTGGCCAACAGTAACAACCCTACTCTCCTTTCTTCATCATGGCCTTTTATTTGACAGCAGTATTTTATCTCTCTCTAGATCTCTTGCGCTCATTAAAGGGCACTTCTTGAAGACCTAAGTGGGGAGGAAAGGAATGAACCATCTATTCACATCCTGGTTTGGAGTCACTCATTTTTCTTTTATTTGTTTTTTCAAGACAGGGTCTGTCTGTGTAGCTTTGGAGCCTCTCCTGGCACTCACTCTGTACACCAGGCTGGCCTTAAACTCACAGAAATCCGCCTGTGTTGGGGATTAAAGGTGTGTGTCATCACTGCCCAGCTCACTCATTCATTTAACTGGCTATGAATTGTGAATTGTATCAAAAATGCAGGAAATCTCTCTGTGTGCAATATTACTTATGGGCCCACACCCCATCTTTACTTTTTATTATGAAAGCTGTATTTCCAACAACTGAGAAAGCATAAAAAGGAAAAATCACCTTAGACCACTATTGCCAACCATATGGGGGTTTCTATGAACATGTTGTTGTGTATTTACAAACAGTAAAAACTTGCCCTATGAGCATGAGAACCAAAGTGCATCCACAAAACACATAACACCAGGCACAGAGGTGCATGCTTGTAATGCTGGTGGTGCTGAGGAGGCAGGGACAGACAATCCCTTATGTTGGCTAGCCTGACAGTCTTAGCTTAGGAGTCCAGGCCGAGGGGAGATTTCACCTTAAAAAGAAGGTTGGGGACAGACATAGGTGAACCTCTGAGTTCCAGGCCAGCTTGGTTCTATACTAGCTGGGGCTATATAGTGAGACCATATCTCAAACACCTCTATGACCCGAACACCACCACCACCACCACCACCACCACCACCACCACCACCACCACCACCACCACCACAAGATGGAAGGGCTGGAGAGATGGTTCAGCCATTAAGAGCATTTGTTGCTTTTGCAGATGAGACTTGGGTTCAGTTCTCAGTTAATGTGGAAAGTAATTAAAAATCCACAATGATATACATTATGGTCATGTTTACAGGTCAATTTTTCCCATTCTTATGAATTTTCTACTGATGCACTCTGCCCATTTAACTAATAATGGGGTTTAGTGTTATTGACTTGTATGACCTTTTGTATCATACTGTCAGATGAATATAGAATACTGAGTATTGAATACAAGTTCTTGTGCATGCTTGGCAAGTGCTGTACTGTGGAGAAACATCCCAGCCCTATATGACCTCTTTGCATATTAAAAGAAATTAAATATCTTAAGTAACTGAAGCAAACATTTTCTCGGGTTCCCATTATATCCTCTTACATATAGACTTTAAGACTTGAGGGCACTCACAATCATTTATACTCACTGCATAGTGCTTGCCATCTAAAGTCTTTAGAATACATTGTTGAGCCGGGCGTTGGTGGCGCACGCCTTTAATCCCAGCACTCGGGAGGCAGAGGCAGGCAGATCTCTGTGAGTTCGAGGCCTGGCTGGACCGATAGCCTTCAAAACAATACAGAGAAACCCTGTCTCGTAAAAACCAAAAAAAAAAAAAAAAAATATATTGTTGATTTCTGGGTTTACATATAGGTTTATGTTAGAGGCATACCTAGGGCTTTAGTTATCAGCTTAATAAATGCTTTGAGACCAAAGTTGGCCTAACTGTATCAGGATAAGCATCTGTGTGTTAATATTATGTAGTTTATTTAGCTCTCTGTGAACTAAATGCTTGGGTGTGTTAGCCAAAAAGAAATGAAGCTCTCAGCAATGACAAGAGATGACATCCTAGGGGAAGGCAAGTGCTAACTATTCATTTCTGTAAGAACATTGAAAGGTTAATACCAACCTATAAACATATGTCCTTTCACTCACAGATAAATGTAGTCCTCATGAAGGAAACTTCACGTTGCAATAGACAGAAACCAACCAATCAAAATGCAGAGCTGTGGTTGCCCAGTCCAAATGGCTACAACTACAAAGCACTCTCGCACCATAATACTGTGGAGGGAACATTATAGAAGGGGTGGAAAGACTGTTAAGAGCCAGAGGACCAGGGAGTTTGCTCTGAGTGTCTCCTAGCAATATCAGAAGCTACATTCATGAAGTCTCACCAACGTGACTGCCCAAATATGAGCTGAACAAGGATGACACCAGTGAGCACACCACCGTGGACAGGGGAAAAAAAAACCCCTGAGGCCTCACCCTACGCCAAAACCTACAGACAACGAGTAAAACTGGGAATGGGACAGGTGGTCCAACCCAGGGAAGAACATACAAGCTGTCGGTCCAATGCCAAACAATCAGTCCTGAAAACACATAAAGTAGCATTATCTGGACTTAACAGGTTACACTTAGGAATCTACATGTATATGCAAGTGTAGATATGCATGCAATAACAATCAATGAAAAAAAAGAGGCCATGAATTTAAAAGAAAAGTAGAAGGGGTACGTGTAAAGGTTTAGAGGAAAGAAAGGGTAGGAAGAAACATTCTAATTATAATCTCAAAAATAAACAAATTTTAAAATTATAAAAAGGCAAAATGTCAAAAAAAATTTAGGTGGGTGTTAAGACGATTTCAGTTTTAGATTAGTTAATAGGTGGTTATTTGGCATATATGTACTCTTTACCAAGAATCCAGAAATGATTAGAGCAAAGGTCATTTCTAGAAAAGTGCATCTATAAAATGCATGGCTAGAGTACATTCAAGTTCTTGTGAGCTGGAAATGGGAAAGAGAAGGATAATGAGGCAGAAGAGGGAAATAAAGAGTTCAATAGTAATTATAAAGTGTTCACGGTATAAAAAGATTTTGACACTAAATTAAACTGAACTTAGCATTAAGCTGCTTCAGAGTGTGGCCCTTATCAAATTTATGAGAACAAGGAAGTTAAAAAGGAAATCATGGCCGGACGTTGGTGGTGCACGCCTTTAATCTCAGCCCTCAGGAGGCAGAGGCAGGCGGATCTTTGTGAGTTCGAGGACACTCTGGTCTAGAGTTCCAGGACAGACTCTAAAGCCAGAGAAACCCTGTCTCGAAAAACCAAAAAAAAAAAAAAAAAAAAAAAAAAACCCAAAAAACAGGAAATCATGACTGCCATCTAATATCACATTACAAGCTACAGCTTTCGACTTTGGGTTTGCACCAGTTCGCCTCACTTTTATTATCTGTAGAATGGGGTTAAAAGTCTTATTTTAGAATTAAAGACGCTAATACCTGTCAGTGTATTCTTAGTGTGTATTTGACTTAAAGAACAAAGCTTCCTAAAGGCGCGGTTTTACCAACTTCTGTCTGCCTAACAAGAGCTAAAAAGGAATTGACAATATACTCTCGTCTGGGGTCGCCTGGGAGATCAAGGTAATGAAAAGCCAAGGCAGTGAAAGCCCCGGGCTCCGCGCCCCCCACCTCCCGCCACGCCACCACGTCGTCAAAAGGAGCAAAGTCCTCTGGGAAGTGTAGTTTTAGGGTCTTGGAAAGGATTTCGGCCATGAACCCAAACGCTAGGAAGTTGGAGGTTAAACAGCGAACAGAGAGGGGTTTCGGGTAGCTCGAGCGTGTCGGGAGTTCCAGACGTAGGGTAAGCGGCTCACCTGAGTCTCCCAACACCAGAACCTTCACCCGATCCAGGGACGCCATCTTGCCACGATTTCCTTGAGGTTAACGCCCGTTCCTGGATTCTCAGCCAATCATAGCAGGGCTTGAGGGCAGGACCTACTACCTCATTGGTCGGTCAGAGCATGTCAGGTTTGATTGAAAGCTTCGCCGTGCGGATTAACGGGTGGTTTCCAAACTGGTCGCAGGAATTAGGCGTTTGTCCTTGTGTCGCCAGTGGCGTGGGCTGGCTGAAGCCGGTAGTTGATGTGCTGAGGGCGGCTGTAGTGGGAGTGTTCGAGCATCCGCTTGGGTAAACCTTATTCCCTGATCCTTGTTCCCGGTTTCTGAACTGGCGTGGTATTTCATGGTTTCTCCTGTCCACCCCCGCCTTCTCTAGTCCCCTCTCCTCGACCACCCTCTTGCCTTGGTCCTCTTCTTAGTCTTCCAAAGAACCATTACCCGGGAGCGGCCCATGTGCGACCTCGGGTAGGACGGGCTCGGCGGCGTCGACAGTGGTCCGGGAGCCCCCTGGGCGCTGAGGGACTGCGGGGTCTCGGGGTCTGGACACTCCCGGGCACAGCTGGTGGAGGGCGCCTGGGTCCGGAGCTTCCTCTGTCGTGGGCCCCTTACAGTACGAAGGGATGGAGAGTTCGTGAAATACATAACAGAAAAAGAGTAGAGGCGGTGTAAAATCCACGTTCTCCTGGAACTCGGAAAGTAGTACTTTGAAATAGTCTGGGCGTCCTGCATCTACTTTGTTCTTTTATCCTCCACTCTTCATCCAACGTAGTCTTTATTAAAAAAAAATCACATTTAATTTCGTAACTCCTTGCATAAAGCGGTTACAAGTTTAAAGGGAAAAGGATGGTTTATAGCTGTCATGATTGTGGATGCAGGTGTGGAACAAGTGAATTAAGTCTGTGGAAGCTGGCAGAACGCGTGTCCAGAAGATGTATTGAAAGTTTGATTTAAGTACTTGAGTAGCTTATACTGTTTATGCTAGGTGCTAGCGTTGGTGAACAAGGTGAAGTTTCTGGTCTTAGAGATGCAGTTAGAAACTGGACAAATTCTGAGGCAATGTGGAGGAGAGCATTAGATGCTACTGTTGGGAATTTGGGGAGGTCAGGGCACATCACCCAAAGCCTAAGGATATCAGGAGAAAGGTTTGGGCTTAGCTTTGAGGGCCAAGGGAAATGGTGTGTGGACAAGAGGCTAACTATGGCAAAAGCAGAGTGATTTCGACTTTGTTTCTCCCAGCTCCACACCAGGGGCACAGTAGTCCTTAAATGTTTGTACAATTAGGCTATAGGGTGAAGTTGGGAGAGGCCCGCTTACAGTGAAGAGAGGAAGAAGATGAAAACCAGTAGCTATTACACCAAGAAAGCACCATAGACCCGAGAAGTTGTCTTCTTAAGTGTCAGCTGCTAGAGAAACTAGCAGATGTAGGAATATGGGCTCACTTTTCACTTACTTCTAATTTTCAAAAGGAGTGGGATGATGAAATTTATATGCACTCAAGATTTTTAAATGTTGACAACTGGTTCATAAAATGTCCAAAACATTCCGTTTGGGCTTCCAGTTTCAGAACTTGGCCTAAGTAGCTTACACCTAGAGATTGAGTAATCTTGATTCCTCCTGACTGGGCGCTAAGAGGTCGAAGGCCATGGTCAGGAAGGGGGATTTAAAATTTGGGATTTTTAAACTAGGTAGCCCTCCTGAGCTCCAGTTTCATTAGTTCTGCTACTTTGTGTGTCTTCAAAGGAATAATAGCATGGTATTTCATCAAAGACAGGCTTCTGGAAGGAATGTTAGCTATTTCTCATGCACTTTCTCTCCTTCCAGTGCCTCTAAACAGCTACTTAGGATTTTTCTCCCCCCTAGTATATTGTTGGGTCCTTTTGATTTTGTTTCTGTAATAAATTTCAGTTATCTTGTCCTTGCAATTCTTCTCTTTCTTCCTAAGTTTAGGTTTTATTACTACAGCTCCTGATATAACCATAGTATCACTTCATATCATCAGCTCACTGGCGTATGAATCAGTTAGATGGGAGATTTTGTTCTGAATGCATCAATAGTCGAGTTGAACTCATATACCAGCCCAGAAGCAGAGCATGTTATGTTAATTATATGATTTAATTCATACATTAACTGTGTGAGAAAGGCACTTTAATTTCATATGTGAAGAAACCAAGGCTGTGGATTTTCTGTGACCAACACTAAGAAATTGATCTGGGATTTTCAAGCTGAAACTATTGACTAGAAAAGTCTTGATGTCACTCCTTTGCACTGATCTTCAAGACCCCCGGAGGTATATCAGACAAAGGAAACAGGCTGGACAGCAAGTAGTACAGGGACTTCTCCATACAGGATGTTCATTTGCAGGATACAAATAGCCATGGGCAGATTGGATCGATTAGCAGGAACTTTGTCGTACATTAGAGTAATCTAAAGGAATTTCAAAATTAGAGGTATTCCTAATCTGACCCTTCTATATCAGCTGAAACAAAGCCCCTGGGAGTGGGGCTCAGGGTTACTTAGTATGCCTAAAATACTGTCCATATGATTCTGCTTTGCAGTTAGAGTTGAGATCCATGGTCTGAATCTTGGAGTGTATGAGGGCGGGAACAGAGGAGAATAAAGTAATGGAAGGCGATACAGAAAATGCTAGGCCATGCTGACATTCGTCTGGCCTTTGGTCTTTTGGATGTTTCTGAAGCCATATGTTCTATTCTGTCAGCTACCGGGCTTATAAAACAAAACGCAAAATACGGTTTTAAGTATGCTGTGTAGACAAAATTGAGAAGGAGATCAAAATGTTTCTGATACTCTGCTGTGAATCTGATTTGATAATGAATCCAGACATTCTTAAACATCTAGGGTGACATAAAGACTGCAGGTTTGGACCTGGTGGGTCCAGGTGCTACTTTGTTATCTGCACGTGTGTACATTTATGCCTGAGTACTGTGGTTTAAAATATATATGGTAACTTTTTAATTTTTCCTTTATTATAGATATGTCCCATAAAAGTGTGCATATTGGTTACTTTATAGTATAGTATTGCAGATATTAGCAGATATTATTTCTTACAGAAAGAAGCATCACATCTGATAGGATTGGTTACTTCAGAGTTCAAATTAAAGGTTCAGTTGAAAACAATAACAATATGCTCATAGAAATAGTTCAGCAGGATGTCTATTAAAATTTTTTCTATATCATACCAGGGATAGCTGACTAGATTCAGTTTGGTCATATTAAAGTTATGTGGAAGTAACCATAGTTAATAAGTCCTCTTAGGTACCACTTAACATTTTCATTAGTCACAGCACCCCATTTTCCTTCTGAGAGTCAAGTGTGGCTTGAGCTGTGTAAGGCTTTGATTTGGTGCATACAGCAACCAAAATGCAGCCTCTGACATGGGTCCACAGCCCAAGTGCTGTCACATGCATGTCAGAGAGGACAGCTCTGGGCTGTGGCCTAGAAGGTAGAGACTGTCTGCATCTGCTTTGTTCTTCAAGGGACTGAGTATTAAAGGGTATCTTTTACCCTCTCCCTTCATTTTTTAAGATCTAGAAGGTATTTACTTAAAAGCAGTTTAAACTTTCAAAGTTGGTAAAGTGCTTTGGATCTTAGCATTAATTTCCTTCAGCCATGACAGTCCTTAATTTTGTCATCCCACCTATCAGTTACTTATATGTTTATTGTTTTTGTTTTGTGATTTCATTGTGAAAGTGACTGTGTAACACATTCTTGAATCTTCGAAGGAAAGTTTTACTGAAAAGAAATGAAGTCTAGGGTAATTGCTAGGACTCTCTCAGCATGCCATTAAGAACAGGGAACACTCTCAGGGTTTTTTGTTTCTTTTTGTGAAATAAAGTAGAGTTGATATAATATATCATTGTCAGAAATAATAGTTTTTTGGAATCCAGCACACTGTTGATCATAAAAGTAACTATTTAAGGATTATGTCAGGCTTCTTAGGTGTGATCTTTTGTGTACTATAGAAGAAAATCCTGGCTTTCTATCAAGTACTTAAGTGTTAGAAATCTTTTAAAACAATGTCTGAATGCTTTTGTGGCACTTTAAGAATAATGATAGCTCCCAGTAAGAGGTGGTTGTAGATTAAAATGATTATTATGTCCTCATGCCTACTAATCCCCACCTCCATCCTTAGAGTTGAAGTTGAAGCTTGCTGTTGAAGATGGCAGACCCAGATGTCCTCACCGAGGTTCCAGCAGCATTGAAGCGGTTAGCCAAGTATGTAATCCGGGGCTTTTACGGCATTGAGCACGTCTTGGCCTTGGACATCTTGATCCGCAACCCCTGTGTAAAGGAAGAGGACATGCTGGAGCTGCTCAAGTTTGATCGGAAGCAACTTCGATCTGTTTTGAATAATTTAAAGGGAGACAAGTTCATCAAATGCAGAATGAGGGTAGAGACTGCTGCAGATGGGAAAACCACGCGCCATAACTACTACTTCATCAATTATCGCACTCTTGTTAATGTAGTAAAATACAAACTGGACCACATGAGAAGGAGGATTGAAACGGATGAGAGAAATTCCACCAACCGGGCTTCCTTCAAATGTCCTGTCTGTTGCAGTACTTTCACTGACCTAGAAGCTAATCAGCTGTTTGACCCTATGACAGGTGAGACTTACTCAGTTTATGAATCAAGTAAAGTAAGATGTGTATTATTCTCCGTAACCTACGTGGGCCTAGTGGTTAGCACATTGGTCAGTAAACACATAATTTGTCTGAACTAAATCTGAAGTTAACTAAAACCCAAGTGGCTGGGTACAACTATGAAGGATTGTTTTTTTTTTTTTTCTGTGTACTCATTTTTTTAAAAAATGTTCTAAGTTGTAAGCCAATCATAGGCTTTGTAGGAGTAAATAGATGAGTGTGAATCAGCATAAGCCCTGCTGTCTTGACAGGCTGACATACAGCTTTGAGAAGTTTTTGCATTGTCTTTTTCCTTCATAGGGAAAACTCTTTTCCCCCTGATTGCTGTCTCCCCTTGTTCACCACTGCAGCCTAATCTCAGGGTTGATTCTATACTACTCTGAGGCTGCTCTGACTTGACTTGTGACCTCATTCTT